TTTCCACATCAAAGGTCACTCAATGCCTGGAAAGTAGTTATAAAAGGGAAAGTCAGAGTGAAAGAAGCTGACTATAAACATAATAAGAGTAAAAAAAATGCTTGCCTCTTTCTACAAAGTCACCTCTAGGCAAAAGCAGTGCCCTCCTGCAAAAAGCATATTAAAGAGTAAAGCTATACAGGGCATTTCTTTAATTCTTTACGGAATTGAAAAAAAAAAAAAAAAAAGCTGATAGCTACGTGGATTCGCCTTCAGTGTATGTTTGTGGGGCTTGGAGGGCATTCTATGAGGGGATAAATGTCACAGTATGTTGGCTAACAAAATTCTGTTAATTAACTTTTTCATAAACGGTTTAATGGGCCACGTTGCAATTGCAGTTTTAAAGGCTAACCCAATTTATACAGTTTGCAAAAAAAAAAAAACATTAAGATATTTATTGTTGAAATTTTGCCTTTCTTCGCTTGATTAAAAACCGCGTGCTGAAAACCGCGCCTGGTTAGGATTCGTAGAATAGTGAAGGATTTGTTTCTGGTTCATCGTCACTATCTCTACAGCGTGCCTTTCATAGACGCGCCGGCGTCACTCTTCTGAGATTGTGACAGATGGACAGAAGTGGCTATGTCACTCTTCTACCAAGCATAATCAGGTGCGCGTTTTGAATCAAGCGAAGAACGGCAAAATTTTAACGACGAGTATCACAAAGCTCATTGTCTTTTCGCAAATTACCTCCATTGGGATGGGCTTTATTGATTGCTTCCTTTAAAACTGCAATTGCAACATGGCCAATTAAGCCATCTACTTTGACATTTATCTCCTCACCTAATGTACGCCGAGCCCCAGAAACATACAGTGAAGCGGCATTCACGTAGCTATCAGCTCTTATTTTTAAAAGATTTTGTAAAAAAATAAGAAAAAACATTCTGTATGCTCAAATCTTAAAAGCTTGCAAAAAAAAAAATGGATTGTGGATATTTAGACAGCGTGATGTTGATCAGCCATTTAAATGATGCGCATACGTCTACGCTATAGATGAGATATTTAGCCAGTGCAGTACAACTGGTAGTCTGGGTCATTCAAGGAAATATCAACGTCTCCTTCGGAAGTAAATTCGGAGCCTCGTTGACTTTGGACTTCAATCAAACTTTCTGTTGCCTCGGCTTCTGCCGCCACCGGAAGAGCGCAAACATCTTCATCTGTGCTAGAGTCCACAGGATCGATCAGGGAAACGTCATCGTATTCGTTTGAAGTAACTTCGGAGCCTTGTTGACTTCTGACCTCAATCAAGCTTTCGGTTGCCTCACCTTCTGTCGTCACCGGAGGAGCGCAAACGTCTTCATAGGTGCTGGAGTTCACGGGATCTTCTTTGCGGTACCTTTCTAGTTCCCTCTGAGCGTTTTGCGCGATTCTTCTTTTCTGGCGATCGGACAACTCCGACAGCGAACGCTTAACGCGCTCCATTCTCCACAATAACAAGTAACAAAATACCACGTACCTTGTTTTGGGTTATTTGCAGGGAGAACGGCGATTGAACGATAGGGCGATGGTGACGATGGTGCGGATAGTACTTTCAAAAGCCTCGGCCTTGCGCGGGAACACTAACGGCTGCGCAAACAAAAGAAAAGTGCTACTTCTGGCTATGGCTAGAGACGAAAGGCCTAGAGCCCCCCGCTTTCGATCATTTTATTAATGAACAAAATAAATAATTTTATTGTATATAGTACCAAATAACACGTATAATTTTTTAATTATAAAATTGATTTTAATCACTTTAGCACTTTAGTCGATAATAAAGTTTGGTTGTGTTGGTGAACATTGGTTGACGTCGCTAGGTGACGCAAGCTACCACTCGTTAATAGTCGTTACAAAGGGTATTTATCTATCCATCCAGGCAGCGTACTCAAAATGGCAGCCGTGTTTTCCCGTTCTTCCCACGACCAACTCTTTGTGTGGTTCTTCCTAAGCGTTTTTCCAAGCGTTTTTCCGATGACACCGATTGAGAACAGACGAAGTGATCCGCGTACAAGCTTTTCATCATCAGAAGTTTAAAAACTCAGGTTTACGAGTGCTACATCTGTGCATACTCTTTGATAGGCGCTTCCGATGTGTGAGTTCATATCGCGGGTGACGAAACTGTAGAACGGAAGCTCTGCGAGCGCTCTACACGGCCCTCGTACTTCCCATTTCGGACTGGAGTATTGCTCGGCGACCTGGTCCCCGCCCCAGCAGCACCTCTGGGAACGGCTCGAAAGTGTGCAGCGCCGTGCGACACGGATCATCTGTGGCACAGCGGACGGCTCGTACGATGCACGCCTGGTGTGGGTGCCCTTGGTCGGCGACCCCCCACGAGAGGCGACGGGCCTCACGGATGCGCGCACTGTGCCGGATGCTCGATGGACCGCTTTCCGGGATCTCGTTGTCCTCCGCAGTGCGGACAAGCAAAAGAACTGGGCAGCCTGAGCCTCTCCGTGGGAGGACCACCCGCCACTGCTAGCTCTTCTCTCGCCAACTGGTTTTGAGCTCGTGACGACCAGTGACTTGCACCATTATTTTTCTTGTTGCTGTGTGTGCTTGTTTTGTTTTACCCTACTGAGTCCCCTTTCTCCTGTCTCCTGCACTGTAGGGGGCGGCCTGCTAGTAGGCGCATATGCATAAGGGTTATCACCTTCTTGTCTAGCCTTGCACGTCGTCGCATACACGTCAAATCCGTGTGCAAATAAATTACAATCGCAGTTACAATTACATAAACAAAAACAATGGTGACAAATATTCCTGCACAACTATACACTGCATTGACCCTTAAATAAGGTGCAGCGAAGGCTACAGCCACTAGACCGCAGCTTTGCTGCGTGAGACGGCCCTTTGGACATGAGTGAGCGAAAGGGCACGTGGTGCATGCATCCTGCTTCGTGGGCGCTTGCTCACTGGGGCCATTCGAAAGCTTTTGAGCTTGCTCGTGCTGCATGCAGGTGTAGCTCTACCAAAACTGAAGTGGCAATTGGGGAGCCTGTGCATTCCGTTTACTATTTCTGATTACTGGGAGGCCATGCTCCGTCCATTTTAATTAAATATTCATTAGTTAATTCAGAAATTACTTCAGTAAAACCAAACTGCTACATCCATTCAATGGAGCCCTTTACACAAAGGTACAATAGTTCCCAGACCATAATCTGCAGACTATACATGCCTAAAAGTTAATATTTCACTCTGCAGACTATCTGCAGGTGCAGAGGATACAATACATTTTGTGTCTTTCGTTCTAGATATTTTACAATACAATATTTACAATATGTTTTGCTTTGCTGAAGTGAGAAACAGGTCATACTGTCAGTGTGTCGTCCAGGCCTTTGATGTCTTGGGGTTGACAGGCTGTTAGCTTAAGTGCCTCCAGGCAATCTTTGTTTGTCAAGCTTAATCCTCATGAGCTCTGTGATTCACCATGACAAGCGGGCTCAAAAGGACCTCTCCCCATAATGTGGACCGTCTAAGGAAACAGATATTCAGTTTGAATTTGCCCCTGTGGACTATACACCGAGTGGGGACTGTATAAGAAAAACACTTTTTTCGAGCCAAAATTAACCCTTGTGGGCTTCACGCCGGGTGCGGACGAAGAAATATTGTAGCGGTTTATTTCCTTAGGGCATTGAGACATTACAGAGTGGAGTGGACAGAAATATCTAATTGCAAACAAACACATTAAAAACTAAATCAAAATATTGTTAACAAGACCCCGAATTCATTATCACACTGCATCTTTAAATTCGGTGCAATCAGCTATGCCAGCGATAAGTAGGGGGGATGATTCTTGCCTAGTGATGACATAGGCGGGAATGACTGACAATAGGTGGAGGTGTGACAAAGGGGGATGTCATTGTGGTGGTGGATCTTATGAAATAAATACAGGCGAGATATGTTTCTGCAGACAGAAAGGCGTGTTGTCCTCTCAAGTTGCGGGATGTTTTTGTAACATTTTATAAGTTATCACAGATGCATCTCCTTAATGTTACCTTTGAAACATAGGCTCTTTGTTTCTGGATTATATTGCCCTAACATTTCTGCAGCAACATTTCAGTAACATACGTAAAAGTAGTGTAACGTTGCATCTCACTTGTGTAACATTGTGTTGATGTTTCGAAATAATGTTTTTGCAATATGGTTTTAGTAATATTGTCGTGACATTGTTACACGTTGCATAACGTTGCACAACATTAGCCACGTTGCAGTAACGTTCCTGCAACATCTCGTGCTACTAGGGTATGTTATAACCATAAAATGGACTCATTTAGTATTCGGAATTCAAACGGCTTAATATAATAAAATTAATAAAGTTGGCGAAACAAAGGAACATGAAATGTGATAAATGTAGAATGCTGCTTATCGAATGCTCAGTGCCGGAATGAGGAATAGGCGAATCGTATGCATGTCATTGCATTGACCTGGAACATGGACTCCAGATATGGCAAGGGATGAAAATTTAATTGCGGGGGAATTGAGGGAAGTGGACAATTTCATAAATCACATGTTCGTTCCACTGTACCACCACGGTTCGTATGTTCAGGTTGAAGAAGGGAACTATCTCGCGCTACACTCTTTTCTTGACAATTTTCCCCCAACGTTGTTGGACACAGAGACATCTTCGCAGCCAATGGACGCGCACGCACCCCCCCCCCCCCCCCCCCACACACACACACACACTCATAAATAGAACGACTCAGAGAACACACAAATAGAACGGCTGAGTCACACAGCACAGAAAGCATCGCACAAAAAGCTTTCTGACGAAACCAGAACCGAAAGTGACTTTTGGCTCGTGTCATAGTGACAAGAAGTAACTGGAATCCTACTTTTGACAAGCTACTTGACATAAGAATAAAAAAAATCACGCTACGAGATTTTTTATAATTTAAAATAATTATCAGCAGATGATTTCACAATGCTCCACACTTGCCGTTTCCCATGATGCGCGAATAATTAGAGATCATATCCAATCCAATCCAATCCGACAGCGCGAGTGATGATGGATGATGCCGGTGGTTTTATGGCAGATGCAGTCAGCTTGCTCGTGAAACCTGCTCATCTGTCGCTACCCTGTGCTATTTTTCTTCATTACCCGCTTGCCTGAAGGTCGTTAAGGTTCTAGAGTATCAAATGTCGCTGTACTCCAAGCTGAGGACGACCGCCAGGTCGCTTTTTACCAAGCATTTGTTCGCGACGAATGCTGTGCTGGGCACGGGATTCATGTGCGCTGGAGACGCCTTACTGCAAAGTTATGAGATCAAGACCAAGAAACAAGCGCGTTTCGACATGGCCAGAACGAGTACGTAACTTGGAACTTGCTTATGTGTCTTTCCGGGGCCGTTTTTGTCGTCTAGTTATGCGCATGTAGTTCGCTGGTTTCGATGTCAGGGAGGATCATTTTGCATTTGGGTCGCTGAAAAGTAAGTTTCGGAAATATCGCGTCGGGTCTAGCTTGCCACAAGTTTAGTCTGCACACTTTGAAGGGTTAACTCCGTTCCTGTTAGAGCGAAATCCCTGAAAGGACGAACACATAGCATGCATGTGTGACGTGATTCGGAGCCATGCCAGTATTTTGGAAGGCCCTCACATGATCGAATGACGTTTTAGCGAACATACCCCACGAGCGTTCGGTTCGCCGTGTCAGTTACACAGCGCAGAAGTTGTAGGCTTGTAGTTAGACGGAACGAGTAAGTAAAAATAACAGTCAGTACCCAGCAGTGACAGTATTTGCAAGCTATGTCGTGGCCTCCGAGATTTTTCGCGCGCTCTGCTCTGGGCTCTTCCAAAAGCGCGCCTATCTAACAGAAAAGGCGAGCCAAGCCAGTTCTCTAAAACTCCACATGCGGCGCTTATACACCAACTCATGTTTACAAACAAACCGGAGCGCCCCTAGCGGACGCCACCGGCGCCGCGCATGCGCGGTGGATGGTGGGCAAGAAGCCCGCCGTCGCCCATAAACAAACCATTGAATTGCGTTGTTGTTGGCGTCGGTGGGAGTCCCCGTGCTCTTTTTCGCGTTGGAATTGTTGATTCTACGTCCTCCTAACAATGTCTAACTACTTGAGCGGCTTCAGCAAAACTATCGAGGCAAAACTTTGCGTGAATAATGTGACGTGCGGCGATTCATTTCACGTGGACGCCGCAGAATGGGCGCTAAAGCCTGACTCCCCCGATGAGATTCCGCTCGCTATTTTCAGTCGCGACGTTGCTCGGACTGCAAAAGCGTGGACCGTAGCTGAGATAGTGAACATCGATACTGAAAACCGCAAGTAGAAATGGGCATTACAAGTCGGTGATGGCCACTGGTAACAATGATCAACAACTTCTTGTATCTGTTTACACTTAGACGACTTACCCCAGCCAACCTTCAAAAGTGTTTTGAGGCCTGCACTTAGTTCTTATCGCAATTGCCGGGTCAACATTTGGTTTACGGGCCGCTGTCGTTTGAACGAACTGACGACAAAAAGCAGCCAAGTTTGAAAGAGCAGACGACAGTTCGAACGCACGCGCAATGGAGTACGGGCAAGAAGCACCGCGTCCCGCGTCAACAAACCATTCGAATGTCACGTTGTCGGCGTCTGTGTGAGTCTGCATACTCTTTTTCGCGTTGGAGTTGTCGATTCTACGTCCTCATCGCAATGCCTTACCACTTCAATCGCCTGAGCGAAATTATCAAGGCTCGTTACACCGCTAAACTTTCCGTGAATAATTTGAGGTGCGGCAATTCATTCGCATGAACGCTGCAGAATGGACGCCAAAACCATGATAAGATCCTTGTAGCTATTTTCGGTCGCGACGTCGCTCGTGCTGCAAAAGTGTAAAAGGTAGCGGCGATGATCGACGTCGATACTGAAAATCGGAAGCGGGAACAGACCAAGCGTAACAAGTAGGCGATGGCCACCGGTACCAATAATTAACATCTTGTATCTACTGTTTACACCGAGCCTACTTAAGTCTTTTGAGGCCTGCAATTACCTCTTATTGCAATCACTGGGTCAAAGTTTGGTCTACGGGCCGCTTTTGTTTGAACGAGCAGACGACAAAAAGCAGACAAGTTTGAAAGAGCAGACGAAAGTTCGAACGATCAGGCGGCCGTGTGAATTTGAAGACGCACTGAATCCGTGGGTGGTCCGGACAACTTGGGGGTTTTCTCTCGTTCATGTTGGAACAAAGCAAATACATCTGGCAACCACAAATTGTGGCCCGCACACGCAATCGTAGTTCGATAGCGTCTGGTTTGCCCTTTTCACGGCTGCTATCCACGTTCTTGGACGAACGGAGGGTTCAAAAACACATGAAAACTGATCTTCAAACCTTTCCAGACTCTCTTGGTAAAGCCCCCATCGCAGCATTTTGACGAGAAGGCACGTTTTTCGTCTCGTTTCTTCCAAAGGAACACAGGAATGCATGTCTGGCACGGCGACTTCTGCCCACCGCCCCAGACCGGAAGTGCGTCCGGCGCGCCACCACCGCGGCGTGACGTAGAAGAGTTGAGTTGGTGTATACACGAACTCAGCTCAGTTACGTCACGGCGTGGTGGCAGCGCGGCAGTTGCACTTCCGGTCGTGGGCTGTGGGCGGAAGTCACCATGCGGGACGTGCATTCCTGCGTTGTTTTTGAAAAAACCGGACAGGAACCTGCTTTCTTATCAAAACGCCGCAACTGGGGCCATACCAAAAGAGTCGGGAAAAGTTTGGAGGTCAGTTTTCAAGTGTTTTCCACTTGCTCGGTTTGTCCGAGAATGTGGACAGGGGCCGTAAAAAAGGAGAGCAAAACGCTGTCGAAGCACGATTGCTTCTGCGAGAAGCACTTTTGGTTGAATTCACGGATACTTGTGGTTGTCAGATTTATTTGTTTTGTTCCAACATGAATGTGGGAAAACCGCCAAGTTATACAGACCACCTGCAGACTCCGTTCAGTGCGTCTTCAAGTTCAAACTGTCATCTGCTCTTTCAAACATTTCTGCGTGTTGTTGTCTGCTCTTTCAAACGACAGTGGTCCATAGACCAAATGCGGGCCCGGTAACTGCGATAAGAAGTAAGTGCAGGCCCCAAAACTTGTTTGAAGACGTTTACGTTTGAAGGTTCGTTGGGGTAGTAGGCTGGGTTTAAACAGTAGATAGAAGGATATGTTGATAGTTGTTACCAGGGGATATCACCGACTTGTTATGCCTGATTCACTTGGCCCGATTCTGTTTGCGATTTTTAGTATCGACAGTGACCATGTCAACTGTTGTTCGTGCTTTTGCAGCTAGAGCGACGCCATGACTGAAAGTAGCGAGCAGAATCTCATCGTGCTAATCAGGCTTCAGAGTCCATTCTGCGGCATCCACGCAGAATGAATCGCCACATGCCACATTATTCATGCTAAGTTTTGGGGTGTAACTTGCCTCGTTAATTTCGCTGAGGCCACTAAAGTAGTCGGATATCGCCAGGAAGACATAGAATCAACAATTCCTACGCGAAAAAGAGCACGGGGACACACACCGACGTTGACAACATTGCCTTCCAATGGTTTGTTTATGGGTGACGGCGAGCTTCTTGCCCACAATCCATCGCGCATGCGCAACACCGGTGGCATCCGCTAGGGGCGCTCCGGTTTGTTTGTAGGCATGACTTGGTCTATAACCAAAACCAGAAAGAGAAACAGAATCATCTCAAAGCATGCTGTTAAGTGTGAGCGCGTGGCGTGAACCTTGCATTTTCACTGTTCTCGTCATCAGAATAGAGACAGGTAAATCAATCTCTTTTGATTCATAATTTTCATTCGCTGCTCTGGTCTTTGCACTGTTTCGCTGGATGACAGCTCAAAATGTAAGATTTAATGTAAATCTATATTTGTCGTCTGCAGATACCCTCAGGGCCGTCGGGACAGGCACAAAACTATTTTTGTCGTCATGCATGAGAACAGCTCTCTGAATCTGAACTTCACTTACGTGTGCGGACATTTGTTCTTCACCTTTCGTTCTTTGAAAAGATGAACCTTCAAACTTCGAACAACTTCTTCCTTGCCTGTGTGTTGCGGCGAGATGCAGAGAGCACATTCTACGCTGCTCCAAAGTTTCGTAGACTGACGATGATGGTGATGGTAATAATTGGGTCTTTCTTTGCAGAAAATATGTTCATTGTGGGAGCCTCGTTCGGCGTCTGCGGCCACAAGTGGTACTCGTTTCTTGACCGGAAGTTCCCTGGCCACAGCCTGAGGATGGTGGGTAAGAAGCTGCTGTGCGAGGCGGCGATTTGTCCACCGTTGGCCTTTATCCTCTTCATCGGCGTCGGGATGCTGAACAGCAAGCCCTTTCGGCAGAGCCTCGTGGAGTTCAAGCACAACATCCTCCTCTTCTGCATGGTTGGTGGAACCTCCGAATCGCCCTTCAACTCTGTCTGCTGGTGGTCTTCCACACTTCTGCAGGGAGGAGAGTCCCTCAATTCCTCCTTTTCATTCAAGAAAGGGGGAGACCCTCCTTCCTGCAGGGAGCAGCTCATGGGCCGGCTTTGTGGGGAGAGAACACTTTGAGAGGGAACAGGGAGAAGGAAACTGGGAACTGGATTTCTGCCCGACAAAAGACTAGTGTTCTCTGGTCCGGCCTTTAATGGGATACTAAACCGAAATTCGGAGATCACAAAACAAGGCTGGAGCGATGGGCGGGATATGCTGCAAAACCCCAAGACATCACTTGTACAGCGATGTTGTCACGAATGACAACTGATGAGGCGATGATAACTGAAGAAACTAAACGTTTAATGGGGCGAACTTGTGCCCAAAACAAAACGAGAACTGAAGATAACAACAGAGCGTCACGGGTGTCGAAGTAGGCGAAACAGCTGGATCGAATGCTGGGACGAAACTGACTCTGCTCGCCATGTGGAGTCCTTTATGTACCCTCGTGAGTTTCTGGAACATTCGCCATAGAACTTTCGGCGTGTAGAACATTCGGAACTCGATCAGACGAGAATGTTCTCGAACTTACGAGAATGCAAAGTTGAAAGAATAAATATAAGGACATTCCGCTGACTGGAATCGAACCTAGACCTTCTGCACGACAGTCAGGCGTGGTAACCATTCGGCCACGTATGCGCTTGCTCGGCGACGCTGGTGGCAATATCTCTAACGGATGGCTATAGCTTTGTAAAATAAGTGCGCGATCGAACATGGCCGACGAGGCCGACAAGACATGTGACGGCACGATTCTCTTTTCCTCTCCTCTTGGCTTTGTTTGCTTGAGCAAGTGAACCAAAGCGAGGAGAAGACAAGCGAGGTCGTTTTCCTTCATATTCAACTGTTCCAGGAGAATCGTGAAGTCACGTTGCTCGCTTGATCGCGCTTTTGTTTTCCAAAAATACGGTCATCTGTTTGAGTTATTGGTCCACTTATGATGTTTCGAAGTTTGTAGCGTCCCGTTTAACTCTTCTGTGGCCCCCTTTTTGTGCAATCCGAATTCCGGTTTAGCATCCCCATAGAGGATGGTTCACACATTTACGTTCTAGTATGCGTATCCGGTACGCCGACGGTGAAAATAGCTGCAATCTGCCACAAAGTAAACTGCATAAGTTGTACACATAGTGATGTGATGCAATTGGGCAGATATAAGTACGGAGTAAGGCAAGAAGCGCAGTGAAGCGTGCCAAAAAACATGAATGCAACGCATCCGCCATGGCGGAGAGGGGAGAGCAGAGTAATGCATTGAAGCAACCTAGTGGTAGCCACATCATGCGATTATAAGATGGCAGTGTGGGTGAAGGTGAGGGTGAAAAGGTGTACACTTCACAGAAAATGTCTTTGCCCAACTCTGACCTTCATCAACACATATGGTGCAAAGTATGCCTGCACGTTCTACAAACAGCACAGAGTGCAGCCAATCATTACAATTTTAGCTTCACTCTAAGAACATGTATCACAAGTTGAAGTTATTCCACTAATAATTAAAAATGAGTCATTAAAGTCATTGCAGGTAAAAGAAATCTTATATTTAACATTTACAAGAATTCTTTGTTTGCTGCACTCTTTTATTTATGAGATATTCAATCTCGAAAGTAAACAAAACTTTGTCTCGTGCGAAAAAAAAAAAAGTGTGAAAATGGGAAGATTTTTTTTAGATCAGCATGGATATTTTACTTTAAATATGTTTAACTACATCACTGTATGGCTTCTGAGTGTAGCTATTAGAAAGTATGTAAAACCAGTCTCCTAATGAAGGTCTTAAGGCTGTACTGTGCTGGCTAATTATATCCTTGCAGTGAAGCCTTCAATGAATGGAGGGCACAAACAGGAACCATTCTTCCTAACTTCTTAAATCTCTGCTTTCCCAGGCTGATTGGGGCTGTTTCGTGCCAGCGCAGGCAGTGAATTTCTTCTTTCTGCCACCGCGCTTCCGCTTCCTCTACGTCTCGGCGATCACCATGGTCTACGACATCTTCCTCTCATTCATCCTCCACAGGGTGCGTAATCGGGCCGACCGCTGAACTGTTTGGGGCATTAAACAAAATAACTCAATGACAGCGGAACAGGACGAGACGCACTCCGGGCGTTGTAGTTGTTGCCATGGTTGTACGATTGCTTACCCGGCCAATTGGAGTGAGGTGCCGTGGATGGTACTTCACTCCCATTGGCCGGTATCGTGATCACGTGGCATATTGGACGACGTCACTCCGATTGGTTGCCGCCATGGCTGTGTGACGTTATCGTATTGAACGTCACGCTGGAGACGTGGCCGCCGTCGTTCCGACGACCTCGTGCAACAACCATCCGTTAAATTTGGCGAAGGATGATCGTTGTTCGTGCGACAGTTTTTTCGTGACACTCCTTTGTAACATCGCGTTCGTTTCATGGAAACCAGCCCTATTGCATGTTCCGTGTTAAAAACTGTTCTGAAGCCTTCATAGATGATTATGAAAGCTGGTGATGTGCATTAATCTTTGTGCTTACCTTTCTTGGCTTAGTTATTAATTTCTTGTGATACAGTCTAAGCTTGTTGTAAAAGACCTTGATTTCGAGCAAGATTTTGGTCTGTTGTAAAAGGAGTATGTTGTAAGCAGATATGAAGTTGAGTCAATGGTGCCATAGAGGAAAACCAACCAAACTTCACAAATCGGTATGTTATATCCAAATGTCTTTTGTAACGAGCTTAGACTGTATTTGGACTCTAGAGATTAGTGCACTGTTGAAGTGTCAGACAGAGACTCAGTGTTATGTTTGAGGCTTTTTTATTGGCTCGGAAAATAGTGAAGAGCGGCAAAATTAAATCTAATAAGAATAATAGAAGGAAAGAAAGGCACTTTCTTTTGCATTATGGGGAGGGGTTTGTTTCGAAACTTTTTTCGAGAAGTGCTGAGGTCCAAGTGGACATGTCCAAAGCTTGTATCCAGTATATACATTTTTGAGTTCTACGAAGGGTGAGCTATAAAATATGACACATATGGTGCCGCAGATTTTCCCTTTAAACGAGGTGAAAGCTTTTGGCCCGAAAAACTGCATTTAGATTTCGAAACCGTGCTCGCAGCTGGGTTTTAATTTCACTCCACGAGTTAGTTTTGTGTATTCGGGCTGCACGACTACTGCTACTCCACAATAACTCACTTGTGAGTTGTGACATCCGGCCATTTGTTTCGAGCAGGAACATGTGGCTTTGTCGACAGCTGCTGAGTTTGGGCGCTCGTAACTGATTGCAGAGTCTGGCTTTTGCGGACCATATATATATCCTGCCTTTCTTAACTTATTAGGTACTAATTTATATTTTTATAAAACATGCCACAAAACTTCGTTTAAAATTGGCACGAAAATTAAAGAAGACATTTACTCAACCTCCAGATGTTGTTTGTTGTACTAACTATTAGTTCCTGGCCATCTGGAGTGTTCATTTAGCATTCATTTCTACTTCTGAAGTGGTGGGCAGAACCTTTAAACAATAGAACCCACCATCCTTTTGAAATGTAGCATCAAAAACTGCCGAATTAGTTGTGCCTCCTTTCTCCGCTGTGTTTGTGTTGGCATGTGAACCATGGCTGCTGTTGCATACTATTCTTTTTGGTTCTTTCAGGACTCCAAAGGACTACAGAAACTTACCGAATAAGGACATAGTGAGTATCTAAAGTTTGTGGCCTGCTATTTGGCACTTGCTTGCGGTTGCATGTGCAGTTTGGGCAAGCTTCTGAGTTCCTTCCTGGTAACATGGGATGCTGCCGATATATTGAGGTTTTTAGAGTTTAGAATAGGTTAGGTTTGGAAGCTATAAACCTCTCGTAGGCTCCAGTTCGACATAAGCCCTTCTGAAATACTAGCAACCTTGAATGTTGGAAACTTCTTTTGGGCAGAAATCAACGAGCTTGAACTTCCATAAATATTTGTGTTCGATGTGTATAGAACTATCACAGACGAAAGATTTGAATAGGTGAATTGAAATTTAAAGTGTAAACGTGCAATACAGTTTTGAAAAATTATTTTCGCATTCAAGTGCGTGTGGTATCAAAAACTCAAACTGGAAATTAAAAAATTAAAATCTCTCAATGTAGGAATTTTAAGACGACGTCTGAAATTTATTGAACTTGTCAGCCCAGTAGACTGAAAAGTATAAAGTCTGTGAGATTTGTGTGCTGAACAAGTCGGAGAGATCGAAGCTAGTCGGGCCATTTGTGTCGGGAACTTCCAATAGTCGGACGGCATGGAACCGGTCAACGCGAAAAATTCGGTGGTAGCTCCGCTTGCAGCACCGCACACGCTTTGCATGCGAAAGGAAGGTTGCGAAGAAAGGCAGGCGACAGATGGTTAGAAACGATGTGGAAGACATTTATTTTCACTCGAAAAGATGAAGACGACGCCACCGTAGTGGCCCCTGCTTGAAGTACGAGAAACCCCGCAGCTTCGTTTGCGTTGCGCCAAGAACTCTAGTGAAAAAAATGTATTCTTCGATTCAGAGACACACCTACGACCTAGTTGGTCAAATCATTATGCAGCTGATTTCTTAAGCGTGAGCTTTCCTTGGCTATGCGATTCTTTATTTTGGCGGCGATTCCTCGGCGTTTTTCGAGGACAGACCCGAAGCCATCGGTGGTTTCCGTCGAGATGCGGCGACAGACTTGTGACCTTTGTCTTGGGAGACGGTTACACAACTCGCGTGCAGCCGTTTTGACACATTTGACTCGTATCGTCCTGAAATCGTCGCCCGACGGAATCGGTATTTTTGTGGCGGCAGTTGAAAGACGTATAGAGGTGCGTGTGTTTACCTAGGGGGGAAAAAAAAACTTAAACGTAACGAAAAATAAGCTGTCGCCGGCACGGAGGCATCTTGCAATTCGTGGTTCCGTACGTCTGTCCAGTGTGCGGCGGGGCTGCGTCGGTTGGAAGCATTTTCTTTTTTTTTTTTGTATCGAGAGAGTGGTTCAGGGGCGTCCGCTTTCTGTCGTGGCTCTCTCTTCATCCGGGATGCGGAGGAAGCTTCGTGGAGGTGAAGTTCCCGGTTTTGGGTGACGATGGAGGAAGGACAATGCTGCTCCTACTTGTTGTCGATGTCCTGCGTTGAAACAGAACGAGCGTGTGGGAGGGGGGGGGGGGGAGGGTTTCTACCCCGATTCCTCGTGACACTTGGATATATCGACGAATTTCATCGCGAAACGCTTTGTAAAGGCTGGTTCAGACATTTTCGTTTGAGTGTCAGTGACGGCGTTAAGACTCCTCGCGTTCCACTACGACGCGTTGCTCACGTCTGCCAAGCCGAGCCGCCCACTCACAGTGCTCAGTAGTCATCGTCGTACTTGACGGAGCTCTGTTGCTGCTGCTGCGCCGTGGAGGGGGATCCACCCTGGCGGTAGAGGTAGGACGGCGTGGCGTCGGCGGCGGGTCGGGCCTGGGCCGGGATGGTGTAGACGCGGGTCGGGGGAAGGCCCCCGAAGTTTCCCGATCCGCGGCTGGGCTGCGCGCCTCCGAACTGGGCGGGCGAGGAGGCCGGCTGCTGCGACGGGGCCTGCGTCGAATCGGGGAGCGCGCGATTACGAGAATGCGGCAGCTGCAAAACCCCTCGCGGAGGATGGAGCTCTTCCGTTGGTGCATCGACCCTTTAGAAGGACCAGGGTTCTTTATATTACCGCGTCGTTTCATTCAATATCATCCGAGCATTTCATTTTAATTCTGCGGTCGCTGACGGGATGAGAACAGCAAGGTGTCTCTTTCGGATGTCCGGCCTCCAGCACATTGCCTTCTGCTGTGCTCTGGCACCACATGCATGCTCCCACAAGATGCCCAAGTGTCATCGAAGGTAGGAAGCTCTTGCTGGAGGTGGGGCAACCGAAACGTCTCCCTGCGCTTCGCAACCTGCCAGTAACTACAGACAGTGTCGCAAATAAACATAAGACCTGTCGAGAGTTGTCGATCGAATGCCAGAGGGACAAAGATGAGGTGAGACGTTCTCAATGGGAGGATTCCAGTAGGTGTGAATGGGGAACGATACACTATGTCGCAAAAACAGCAAAACCTCGGGTCTAGTTACACGCGGATCGGAGGTGTCCCAGGGGTGCCCGCCAGACGGCGTGCCAGTGTGTTAAGTGGTGCGCCCAAATGGAGCGTTAGGCTTGCCTGTGCGGTGTAGGAGGGCGGCTGCGGCTGGTACTGCTGGAAGCCGGCGGGGGGACCCCTGGGGGCCTGCTCCGGCCTGAACCTCTGTCTGGGCTGGGGCTGGGGCTGCTGGCGGGGCTCCTGGTACTGTTGTTGCTGCGGGGCCTGGGGCTGGGGCTGGCCCCCGGAGGGCACCGTGAAGGGGTCTCCCAGCACGTAGCCGTCGGGGTAGTAGCGCTGGGCGTACTGCACCGTGTTGTTGGGGCCCCGGGACTCGAGCTCCTGGCGAGGGATGGAGAGAGCCCATTGGACGGCGGTAGCCATGGGGCTAGCCCCTCCCTCGTCCCCGCGCTTTCATTGAAGCGTGAAATACATTTTAACGGAGACTGCCGATTTCCAAATTTTGTCCGTCCGTGCATCTCCCTCTAAGGTCAGTGAGGAGATCAAAATCAAGTAACCCATACACCACTTTGGTCTTCATGCTGATTTTTGCGAAAAGATTAATGTCAAGTAACACGCGCCTTCCTCGCTAAATTTAGCGGGAAAATTGACGTTACGTGACCTACACACTATTTCGTTTTCCCCGTTAAAATTGGCGGGAAAGTGGATATCAGCAGGGAAATTGATGAAAGTATTTATAAATACCGTTTAGCTCCTTTTGGAGGTTGCAGCAGGAGGGGTTGGTACAATTTACCGTGCAAGAAGTTTTACAATTTGAATGTTTGTGAGAAACATAGAAACTTTCCGATACGGGTATACGTTGCACGGGCCGTTGCACCTTGTGACATAATTAGCTTTAGCATCTCCCGCACCTGCTGTGCTTTGCTGACGTCTGTATCGCTACTCATCTTGTCTTTGTATGTTACAGTACCGGATTTTAAATCTGGCTGTAACAAAATGATATGTACCTTTTTGCTCTTATTATAGTGCTTCTTATGAGCTCAATCTCAGTGTTAAGACAATAATCAGATGTACACTTTTTTTTTTTTTTTTCAGTTTTCTTCAATGGCATCATCTGTTTTCTCACCTGTGGACGCACCTTACGCCAAAAGTCACAACGCCTTGTGTTTTGTAAATAGTAATAAAGTAGGAAATGTTTTCAAGTTTTCTCAAATTTTGCTAACTGGGCCATTTCGTCACTCGCTGGCAAGAACGGCTGATGTCAGGGTTTTTGCTTGGACTCTGGTTAATTGCATACCGCAAACCGAAGAAATCATGAACTCATATAATGTTGCTTTTTTTCAGATTTTAATCTTATATACAATGTAAGGAATTTAACTTAAAGTTTCTCGCGATAGGTGGCTGGGAATAGGAACTTTGATGCAATCTCCGAGACAGCACTCCTACCTCTAACGCACCCCCTGGTTGCTAGAACACAACATTTTGAAGCCAAGCTATGTCAGGTTCACGGATTTCCCGTCCCCTGTGTTCGATGGGGACCAGACATTCATTTTATTGCTATTAATCATTTCCCACTCGAGGGTTCTCAATAACTGCGAACCTACCCATACGCTAACATCCGAGTGCTTGGCTTAGAAGTGTCCTCTGAGCACCGTCACTTCCAACAGGTACCGGTCTGAGCACACGCTGTGTCTAAGGAACTAGTTGCAAAGAACTGTCAGTAACTCTGTTAGTTCTTGATCGCTGCGAAACTGCAAATGCTAATGTCAAAGTGGAAATGTGGCGTCCGGCCTCACCTTGTGGAGGTAGTCGTTGACAAAGAAGAACTTCTCAGCCGTGTTGCAGATGTCCTGGCTCGCGGGGACGCAGTTGAGGTGCACCTGGTGGAAGACGGTGCCCTCGGGGCACATCCAAGAGTGCTTGGCTCCAGCCACGCAATAGTGGAACACCTGGCAGTCGACGGAGTTGTCCGAGTAGTAGCCGTCAGTCTTGCCCGAGCAGGTGAAAGTGGACTTCTCCAGAAGTAGGGTCAGCGGGTTGGGCTTCTGCTCCTCCTCCTCCTCCTCGCTCTGCGTCTGCAATGTGGATGTCCAGACAGGTCACGATGGGACAAGTCACGATCAGACAAATCTGGACAAGCCACGATCAGACAAATCTGGACAAGCTACGATCAGACAAATCTGGACACGCCGACAGCATGGCTGATGCTGTTGGTTTACTCTGCATCTGCAAGGTACTCTTTTACCCAGATGACTTGCGGTGCTATGTGGGATGAATTTCGTTAATCGTGCACCTGCGAGGGGACCATTCTGATGACGGCATTCGTTCACCTGAACGATTTTGATTTTTTTCGGGTCTAGGACATGACTGGACTACTGTTCGCTGGTCTCGAGTCATTATCTCCAACAGTGAGGGAAATGATGTTGCTCACTGAGGAGTTTGGGACAAACTGAACTTTTGGTTAGAGCCACATAAGTAGCTAAGAAATTGCTTGGCATCAGGAAATGTTGTCATGCCTGCACCTATGCATTCTTGGCCCGTACTAAGCCAAGATAGTAAGAAGATATATATATAGCATGCCATTTTTTTTTTTACATTAAAAAATGTCTAAAAAAAGTTTTTTTTTTTTTTTATCAGTTTGGTTGGGACCACGGTTGGGACACGCATGTCATAAAATAAATCGCGAGACGCGATTTAGTCGGCAGTCACCTCCTTTCCACTTGTTTTCTTTCGACATTTCGGGCGCGTGGAGGAGAGGTGGAGCGTCTTCGCCTTCACGACCGAGATAGTCATTCCGGAATGACCCGTGACGTCATGGACTTCGCGCGCAGAATTTCAAATGAATCTCTCGCCGTCAATATTGCTCTAAATTTTTTTTTTTTTGCATAAAATTTATTTTTTGACACGCATGTCCCAATCAAACTGTTTAAAAGTAGCATAAAGCGATTCTTACTAATCTTCTTTTGCGCCATTTTGCGCCAGACGCATTTGTCTGCGCCATCCTGCGCCATGTTTCGGAAACTGCGCCACAGTCAATACCTCGCGCCATTATGCACCAAATTGGAAAACGCGCGCCAAAAAAATTGTATTTTGTCTTGGTTTCGGTTTCTATCGACTCGATTGGCAACAATGATCGCGTTTAGCTTGGTCGGCCTTGCAATCTTTTTTTTCTCTTTATTCTCCCTGTGTATCCCGAGTAGGAAGTGTGCGAAAAAAACTCGGGGTTCGGATTCCAAGCGCTACACCATCTGCCTCTGGATTGTTATTCTTCAACCATAAGCGGTTAAACAAGTCGGTCGAGGTAAGGTCGAGTCGTTAAGCGTCAGATTGCCTGAGGCTCCGAAGCCCGGGATCCGGACGTCAGTCAGTTGAAAACAAATGAGCAAAAGATTCCTTTGAGCACTTCATCGTTAGAAGTTGGAACCGCATTCCTGCAAGATAAATCGTGATTTGATAGATCTGAAACGCAGTCCGATCCGAAACCTTGCCGGCCAGCAGCTCTCACGCGAGCGGTAGATCTGCTCGGCATACGTTAACCTTGCTCCTGCTTATCGCTTTCAATACGATAACTCCGTTAATCGTAGTCCGCTGCTTCGATATTGAGTTGCACAATAGGATAAACTCGAATTTTGTTGCGATATTGAGTTGCGCAATATGAGAAACTCGAAATTTGTTTCCCTGTTCTTCCGCGCAACTGCACGTTCGTTGCTTACGCACGTCACGTGGTTCGCATATAAAATCACTCTGTCGAGGACGTGTGGACTGTGCGATAAGCGGTGCTGGTTTGCATTTTGAGCAGCTGAAAGCCACTCAGAAAATATCAAGGCTCACAGAGTTCCAAGTTTTCGGATCTGTTACACTGTTATCCCATCTGCCTAGGTCCCTAACCACTCATGTTTATCTGGGCTGCTAAGCACAACTGAAATTGCTCCCGTGCTTGTCTAAGACACAAGCTGGAGTGCAATGAAAACTGATCTAAGCTGCTCCTAGCCTGCTCCAGAGTGTAGTTTTAGCTGCTCCCAACCTGCTCCAAAACAGCTGTTTTAGCTGCTCCCGTGGCTGCTCCCAAGCACATTTCATGAGTTCCACCCCTGAAGAAAGTAAATTACACAACGTAAGTTTTCAATACCGAACCGATAGAATTAAAAAAAAAAAAAGTTATAATAGTCCCGTCACACTTGTTCTAGAGGAACGCGTTTCACATTTTGCAATACTATGCTGCGGAGAAGCACAAACGCATTGCATTGCAGATAACGGGCAGTGTAAGGTGAGTGCCTTGTCTTGTAGGTGGCATTGGGGAGTTTTAGTGTAGGTATTGGGTACCTGCTGGCGGTTGTCCTGTTGCTGTGGCCTCTGCTGCTGCTGCTGCGGCCTGGCGAGGCCCCCGCCGAAAGACTGGACCGTCTGCCTCCGGGGCTGCGCCTGCTGCTGGGGCTGGTAGGCGTTGGGGTCGTAGCCCTGCTGGGGCGGGGCCGACACCTGGGGCCTGAAGGACTGCGCCTGGGGCTGCTGCTGCTGGTAGCCCTCGTAGGGCGCCGCCGAGGATCCCCTAGAGCCTCCAGGCTGGTACTGCACCTGCCGCTTGGGCTGTGTTCGCCCAAGAATCCCATTCGGTTGATGACTCGCGTTTTGGAGGACTGCTTGTACATTGTCTATTTCGCAGCCACGAAAGTATTAATGTCTTTTCGAAAGCTTGGTACTGTCTGGGTTTGCAGTAATTCCATCTCGCGGTCAAGAGGACCGGTACGTCGAAGCATGCCAGTGATAGTTTTCTGACTCTGATTTCCCGAGACGTCTATGAGAACTGCTCTTGAGGTCGATGTATCTTTGAAGTTGAGGAGCCGATGGTGTTACCTTGTAGGCCGACGCCGTGGCCAAGGTCGCGATGACCGCGATCGCCAGGATCGTGAGTCTCATGTTGGCCGCACCTGTAAAAGAAAAAAAAAAAGGGGGGTTATTTATAAAAAAAAAAAAAATCGTTTGCTGAAAAAATCGTTTTTTTTTTATTCTTGTGGTGATTTAAACGAAAGCAAGAAATCTACACGAAGCGCTGGTGCATTTTTTTTTAAACAAAAGATTTGCCAAAATGTTGCGGTCGTACATAAGACGAGGAGCAGAAGATATGCTTTCCATATAACAAAGACAAAGTAGAAATTAAAAAAAAAAAAAAAAATTACCCCATGGTAGAACACTTGCTTTCAGAAAGTTTAGCTGAAAGAAACGACTTCGTACATTTCTGTAATATCCTGAAAGATAAGGGCAAGGACCCAAAAAGCTTTATTTCCGCTGTGAAATTTAGAGAGAATGCTCACTTATAGTGATGTCATCGTCATATCGGTCCATGTTGTGAACAGTACAGTTCTCCAACATGTTGCGTGATCGTGGAAACAACTAAAACTTGCAGCGCAAACATACGGCACAGAATAGAAGACGCAATCGCTGATTTTGATCTCCCTTTTCTGTCCCGTCTGTTTGCGCTGTACGTTTTAGCCGTCATGCCTAACCAACATGCCCAAGCTTCCATTTTGAACGTGGAAACAAGTTCGTGCGCCTCGCTCGGATGACGTCAAGTTTACGAGTTGAGGACGCTGTTCAATCCCATTCGCGATCGCGCCCTTTTGTATTGCTGTATGGTAGAGCACGCTTCGTGTAAAAATGCAGAAGGAAGCTGTCTAAGAAACATGTCCCGACCCTGAATTTCCTTTTCTTTCTTTTATTACATGTTTGTATTTTTGTCAAATAAAAGAGTAAAGAGCAGCCGCCTCGCTTAGAGGTCATCGATACGCTAACCCTAACCTATCAAGCGCGGTCCTTCCTCCAAAGCGATGTCGTCTGCTTTTCCTTTTCGACCTCCGATAGTGTTTCGATTTCAGCGTTTCCTGGTATCAAATAACGCAGCAAAAGACGTCAGAAAGTGATGTTTCGCCACTGTTTTGGTCACGGTTGAAGCTCGAAGCACGCATAAGAGAGAGAGAGAGAGGGGGGTTCTGTTTGTTTTGGCATAGTTTTAGCACGCTCTATTTTTTCCTGGGGCGATCGCCCAACCAGCCCTCCAATCCAGAACAGCAGACCTGTCTTCGAGACTTTACCGTTTTTGGGTTAGTTCGTTTGACGGTTGACAGCGCCCCGCTTTTTTTTTTTTTTTTTTTTGAACTACGAAGATCATGGCTGAGTTAAGGCATCCTGTGAACGCTTCGGTGAACATCCATGTTTCCCTGCGCATATTTTGGTGTGGCTTTTTAAGTTTTTAACATCGTTTGGTTGCGATTTATGGTGTTTTTCGGGTGAGTTCACGAACAAAATGTCTTGTTGTTGCCGACATTTTTTTTTTTTTTTAAGTTTTGGCTTAAATATTTTGTTTGTAAAATGTCTAAAACTACAAAAAAAAAACGTTTACTATGTAAAACGGACGTAAACACTTGCAAATGAACGCCTTGGAAGCAGGCGTTGATTTTGAATGTGTTTTGCAAGCATATATACACTTTTGCAAGTCCGTCTCAGGCGCCGCCATCTTGTTCAGTGGGGTGCGCTGGACGCGGCCATAATCCGATTACGACGCCTTAGCAAGGCTTTTTAATCTTTATCTGAGATCGCTTCAAACGACTTTCCGTTTTCAAAAAAGAAAAAAAAAAAAAAGTTAAAACAGTCTGCGGCAGCGCGAAACAATATCGCCGGAGACATCGTACATTTAAAGCTCAGGAAGCCGCATTTTTGAGTCACCAATACTGGCGATTTTCATCGTGTGTTTTGGAAACCACTTTCACGGTTTTGTCTTTTGACCGCCAGGTGCTCTGACTACCTGGTTCGCTTTAAAGGGATACTGAACCAAAGAATTTAGTGCCCATAATAAGTGGCGCACGTTCTTTCCACCAGCCAGCAGCCGCCGGTGTGCGCGAGCACACGCAACAAAAATGACGTCACAGACCTCCATTCGCGGTTGAGATGACAGTGAAGTGCTTGGGCTTCGGACTAAAGGAGAATAAAGACAAGCTTTTCATCTCTACAAGTGAAAGCTACGTGCTTGTTAGACCAATTCATCGCTTACCTTTTACACTAGGCACCACTGTGTAGATGAAAAACTTGTCTTTATTCTCCTTTGGTCCGAAGCCCATACATTTCACTGTCATCTCAACCACGAATGGAGGTCTGTGACGTCATTTTTGTTGCGTGTGCTCGCGCACACCGGCGGCTGCTGGCTCGTGGAAAGAACGTGCGCCACTTATTATGGACACCAAATTCCTTGGTTCAGTATCCCTTTAAGGGTCTGGAGAACCAACCTGCCGCAACAGGTTTCTGTTGTAGCCGCTAGGTGCCGTACTGGCGACTCCAGCTGGAGTCGCCAGTACAGCCAGTACTCCGTTCAACCCCAAGCTGACAATGCAGTGGAAAATACGTGCTTGTTGGACCCATCGTACGTTCATCTATCGCTCCCGTCCGATTCATGTGTACTTGCTCTTTGGTGCGGTTGTGAAAGCCCCTGAGAACTGGTAAAGCTCTGGCTATATTTTGGATGCTCAACGCCGATCCTCTTTAGAGATCACCTTCCATGTCATTCATATTTTTTCCTTTGTACCATTCCAGCGTGTCTGTGGCCTTTTAAATAAAGTTGATCGTTCGCAACAGCTGTAACTTACTGCTTCTTAAAGACCGTTAGAACCTCTTAAAAAACAAAACAAACTTGTATCGCACATAATGGCTTTAGTTGCTGTGCCACTAAACTTGCAATCATCATCATCATAATAATCATTCCACCTGCAGAATGCGAGGTCAGGTGATGGAAGGGAGGCAATGGATCGTTCCGGCGAACGCGTAGCTCTCATCGCACTGTCAAATTGAGGGTGAACGAAGCATAGCAATAGCAGGTAGTAGACAACGCACGGTACATCGGGAGGGAACATCTGCTCGGGCAAACGTAACCGGCATGCGCGTGAAAAAAACGAACAAACAAAAACGGAAGCCCACGTAACCGACCTTGATGTCCAACGATATCGCAGCGCATATTTGCCGAAGGACTTCACGTCTAGTTTCGTGTTGGCCCAGCGGCGTTGCTCCCGACCGAGAACTAGCTCCGTCGTTCCCCTTCGTGACAGAGTATCGAGGTTGCCGGAGCGGAGTTGGAGGGAGGCCTTTTAACTCGTGGGCGCGGTGTTTGCTCGACTCGGTCTCCCATGCAGTCCGGCCCGCTATAATGGCGTCTGCGCGCTGTGACGTAATAATAGCAGACAGGGTTGCACGCGCGTTGCTCGCACCCCTTTCTTTCTTGACCACGATGCTGTTTGGCAGTTGTGGCTCAGGGGGCCGTTTGTCGACAATGGGTTTTCCGTGACTCTTTCGACTGTGTTTTCTCTGAGGTCCGCGCCCGTTTGTTTGCCCTTTGTCGCGCGTTTGCGTCGTCCATTTACGGGCGAAGGGAATGTGCTTTGGCTCCAACTCTCGATCGGTGGAGGGACCCTCCCTTTTTGGAAATTGTTTGGCTCCGTGCAAGGATATGAATCGTCGGGTTGTGGTCTCCGTGTTAGTATGGGAGTTTCACCAACTGCACTGCGTTTCATCCGTATGCTCTATAGACCACCTCGCTGTTGACGAGCAGGTCATCGCGCCGTGCCTACAGCAGCGCCACCGCCACATCGTGACGTCACAACCACCGTTGCACGTAACGTCCTCGCCCCATTCTGGTGACTGTTTCGGTCCATTCCTACCTGTTGTTGCCGAGAAAAACGACTCTGGTGTTGTGAAGTGTATGTTGCGGGAGGTACGCGCTCAGCATCAGGGTCACCCCAATGGCTGCTGATGTGACGCCAAGTGCAAGCCATGTATACTCATTAGACATCAGTTCTCTCCAAAAGTGCCATGGAGTAGAACATGAAACAAAAAATATGTCTGTCAAGTCCAAGACAATTGGTCCCTGAGACACCAAGGTCAGCCGAAAGGCGGGCCCTACCAAAAAGCAAAACTGCAAAAAAAAAAAAAAAAAAAAGGACACGTAAAACAATACATTAGGCCACATCGACCAGACAGGTAATTAACCAAATATCACGATACCTTTTATACAGATTGTTTGGTCAGATTTGATGCATACGCAATTTCCCAAGCGCAATAAAACATCTATACCGCTGAAGAAGGTTATTAAACCTCGTAGTTGCGTAAGCAAATTACAACGTCCCACAGCCCAAAGGACTGTGTTTACCACGTCCCTAGATGCGCTTTATAAAGTCGATTATTCCGAAGCAAGAGAAAAATGCCTGCGTCAAAGGACAATTGTTTGCTACGTAAAGGTGTACAGGCGGCCCGGAAGGCATGCACTCTCGGTTTCGGCTTGCGGACATTGCCAATCTCCTCCATCTTCCACCTGGTCGGTTCCTACAAGACCGGATCGGTCGTTAGCAGGCCCCAGGCCGTATGCCGTCGTCCACATCCTTCTACCTTGTAGACGCCCATTAAGCCCGCTTGCGGAGCGACCTTCTGCAGGTGTGGTCCGCGGCTGGCGAGTTTCTGGTCCAAGTGCGGACATTAACGCCCCCCGTTACCGCCAAATCGTGGTCACTTTTCCTTCTCGCTTCCTTTTCCTTGCTCTGGCGCCGGAATTTCCACGTCATGGCCGGCGTTAGAGTAACTGGATATGCTTCGGTTGCTCGGCGTTTTATCTACGGTCTGTTCCTCCCAGTCCTTGCTGACGCGTCCGAATGGATCATGCTCATTTGTGGCTGGAAGGGTGGCTCGATAGCCGCCTTATTGCTGCCTAGATTGACGTTGTGAATTGATTTACCGACTGCTTACTATGTTATTCAAACTTTGTAATTCTGGTCAAGGATCTTTGGTCACGTTGGTCAAGGATCCTTGGTGTGCTTGGTTAAGGATCCTTGGTATCCTTGGTCAAGGATATTTTGTCCTTGGTTCAGGATCTTTGGTGTTGCCTTGGTCAAGGGTC